TGTTATAAATTTCTGCTCTTATTCTATTATTTCTTTCCTTCTACCTATTTGAAAGTCAATTTGCTTGTATTTTCTCTAGTTTTATAAAGCAAATGCTTACATTATTGCCTTCAGATTTTTTTCTCATGTATGTCTTCAATGTTATAAATATATTTCTAAAATTTTTTTATGTTACATTCCACAAACTTTGATAAGCTTTGTTTTAATTTCATTTACTTAAATATTTAAAAACTTCTCTTGATACTTTTTCATTGAATTATGTATTATTTAGGAAACTTTTATTTAATCTCCAATTATATTCAGTTTTCCAGTTATCTTTCTGCAATTGATTTCTAGTTTTGTACCATTGTAGTGCGACAGCAAACATACATACTTTATATTTTTTCAAATTTTTATAGTGTTTTGATGTGACAAGGAGTCTGGTCTAACTTGGTGATGTTCCATGTGACTTTGAAAGCAGGAGGATGATGTAGCATATAGATATTAATATTTCCAGTTGATTTATGGATGATGATGAGATCAACTATGTCTTTACAGAATTTTTGTCTGTTTATTCTATTTTTGAAAGAAGTATGTTGTATTCTACAACTATGACAGTGAATTCATTTATTTCTCCTTGCAGTTCTGTTAGATTTTGCTCCATTAAATTTAATTCCCTGTTGAGTTTGTTATGACTTTTTGAGAATTGATCAGTTCATTATTATGTCATAAGTTTCTTTATTCCCAATACCTTTGTTTGTTTTGAATTCTAAACTCTCTAAATTAATATAGCTATTCTTGCTTTCTTTTAATTACTTTAGCATTATTTATTTTTCCTCCATCCATTCAGTTTTCATCTACACATATCCTTATAATTAAGGTAAGTTTCTTACAGACAACATATAGTTGGATCTGTTTTTTACTTGATGATATCTCTTAACTGATGCACTTAAGCCATTGAAATTTGAAGTGATTATTGATATTGTCCCATTAATCTCTGTCATAGTTATTACTGCCACTATTTCTTTGTTCCAATTTTTAATATTCACTCTGTTTCTGTTTTTGCAGTTTTTATTGAGGATTTCATATGACTTGATATTTTTCATTTTTATAGCATATTAATCAGACACACACTTCTTACTTGTTTTAGCTCTTGGCTTATAGTTTGCAATATGGATCTGTCAGTAAGCTAAGTCTAATTTCAAATAACATTACCCTATTACAAAAGTAGTTTGAGTATCTTATAACAAAATAACACCGGTTCCTTTTTCTAATCCTTTGGATTGTTGATGTGAACCATTGCATATACATATATATGTGTGTGTGTGTATATATATATATATATTACAACAAATACATAAGTATACATAATAGAATTCAATATTGTCATTGTTTTAAATACAGTTTTATTAGCTCAATTAAAAATGAAAATAATCATTTTTATTTACTTTTACTATATTTTCTTTGATACTCTTCTTTTTGTCATATTGTTCTGAGTTTCTTACCTATATACATTTCCTTCTTTGTAAATAATTTCTTTTAACATTTCTTGTAAGGCAAATCTACCGGTAAAAAATTCCATTGATTTTAGGTTTTTTTCTGAAAAAGTCTTTATTTCTCCTTTGCATTGGGAGAATAATATTACAAGGTACAGAATTCCAGAATGTTGGGCATTTTCTGTCAAAACTTGAAATACATTACTTCATGCTGGTGCTTCCATGGTTTCTGAGGAGAAATCTTAAGTTTGCTTCTCTGCAGGTGCCAGGTCCTGGGGCTGGGCCAGATTCCACCCCGGGTCTCTGCTGTGGTTGGACTCCACTCCCGTGCAACCTCTCTGTCTCTAGTCTTTCAGCAGCATTTTGCTCTGTACTGTCCCCCCTCACAGACCTGAGAAGAGTTGATTTTTTCATTTGTTTAGCTTTTTATTTATTATTAGGTCAAAGTGGAAATTTCCAAACTCCTTTCATGCAGAGCTAAAAATTACCTTAATAAAATAAGAATTTGATCATATAACCAAGACGTGCTCCTATGATCCCTAGTTATAATTTTGTGTGTGTGGATGCTTCACAGTTTCCCAGAAATGATTTAGAATAAGTGTCAAAACACTTCCCATTCTCTTGTTAAGAACAATTACATCATGCATGCATTTATATATGCATTTATAAAGCTGATAACATTGCAGAGAAAACATAGCAGGGAGGGCCAAGGAAATACATGCATCCTATCATATTGTCTTCTTCATAGATTCTATTGTGTTTCTTTTTATAGAAATCAAGTTTAAGTAAGTTATCTCAAAATATCTTTGACTATTAAAAATTTTAAATGTTAAGCACTAGTGGTCTCCATCAAGAGGAGTATTTGTAAGGTTTTCAATTATCAAACACATCTACCTGACATTATTTGAGAACTAGGATGAAAACACAGGTGGAGTTTTTGTCTATTTTGTTCATTTCTTTATCATCACAGCCTCACACCAAGCCTGATTTATAGCATTGAAGTATATGTTGAATGAAAAATGCATGAAATGTACTCATAAGATTCTAGTATTAAACTGGGAAGTTAATAAAATAAAAATTGACATGATTATGGGGCTCTCATACTCTATATATTTGATAACTGTTGATTTCTGGCATAAATTATTGCAGAATCTCTATAGACTTCTGGAAAATTTCTTCTTGGATAGCTGTGTATTACTCCAAATATAGGCTGAAAGGGGGAATTTTGTAGAGATGATCTGAGGATTTTATTTCTCAGTAACTAAAAATAAAAATACCCTTCTGGTTTTTGACAAATACTCTCATAGTCAATACACCAGGAATTAATCATATAGCATTAGGATTGGAAGTTTGCTCATCTAGGTTGAGACTGAAATGAATCAAACCTACTAGACTCTGTGTAAAATGTCATGATTTTGGGCTTTCAAGCAATAAAGCTAATAAAATTACTTTTTGGAGTTTGGATATTTTTAAATTAATAAAATATATAGGGAAGGGCTTTTTTAAAAAATCAATTTTGCTACAGTATTCATTTTTTAACTAAGTAAAATTAACTCCAGGCTTTGATGGTATTTTTTTGTCTTTCGGTTTGTTTTCTTGCTTGCCTTGATACATTAATGTTCTGACTGCTTCATCTAGTGCAATAACCTTTTAACAGGTTTCCCTGTCTTGAGCATCTTACCCTTCGATTTGTCTCAAATGGATAATGCTGCTTCTGTCTCCTCTTGTCAAAAGCCTGCAGAGACTTCTCATCACATAAAGAACAAAGTCCAGGTTTCTCTCAATTCATGAAATGATCCCTGCTGTTCTACCTGCCTCTGAAATACATTGCTCACCATCTCTTTACCAGGAGCTCAGCCCAGCCTCCTTCCTCTCCCTAGGATCACCTCTCATGAAAGCATCCACAGCCCAGTTCCTTTCACCTACAGCATCACCTGGACACCACATGATGCTTTCAATTAAACCTGATCATGTCTGCAGAGTGATGCTCATCACTCTTTGATGCGTGTGGTTTGTGCTAAGGTCTATCTCCAACATTCCCTGGGCCACTTTATCATAAGAAGCCGTTTCCTGGGCATCCTTACTCCTAGCTGGTCTCACATCAGGTGGAAAAGGTGGAGCACAGTCTGTTCATATGTCACTGCAGCTTCTAACCAATGGTCACTTCTGCTGAAGCCCATTATCACCAGGAATGCCAGCTACATATACTCCTCCCTTGCATTCAAAACTCTGCAACACCACCTCCTCCTTTTATCCCTGTAGCCCAGTGGTCCATAGTGACTTTCAGGTGTATCAAACATACAGGAGGGCTCACTGTCCTGTTTTTAGTTCTTAGATTTTTCTAACTCCCATGTCATCTACTCTACTATAAAATCCATTCAGTTTGAAGCATTCAAATTGTTTCTGTTTTTCTGATTGAGCCCTGATTGATACATGGCTCTTCCCCTTATTCTCTGGGTGAAATTTAGTGGCTTTTAACGTAGTACCTAAAGCTGCCTCCAGTTGTTCCAGACTTAGGCAGGTAGTCTCACCTCCCAGTACTCTTGACTCACCACAGATATGAAACAGAATGATAATATCCTATTCCAACTACCTATTAAGGAACACTCTTGCTCTTGAATCTAGGAAAACCATATTTATCTTAGAGTTATAAACATGAAATAAAACTTTTATGGAAGTTTATATTGACCTCCTCAAATTATTTTTTTCCATTTTACACTGTATATTGCTGCTACACATTTGATTGTGTAACTATTTGGTTAAATGACTGTGTTCTCTGTTCAGGTATAAGCTTCAAAGTACCCAAAGTGTACTACGCATAGGAAACAAGAAGTGCCTGATACACAGGTTTCTTTCAAAAAATATTTATGGAACTCACTTTCAAAATCCCCATTTGTTTTGTTGAAAAAAATTATTGAGTTCTAGGTACTGTGAAGACAAAACTTCATAGTATGTCAGAGAGCAGCTACAGCAAAAATATAATTGAAATAAGTGTGTTAAGAGCCACAGGAACTATGCACAGAGAGAGATGTAAAAGAATCACAGAGAATGTTCTAGCATGGAGTGATGGGAAGTTGGGGTAGAAGGAATGACCAATACTGTACAGGTGAATTTAGAGGTATAAATATTTAAAATAGAGAATGGTATCTGTAAATGAACCTAGGAATCCAGGAGTTTTATACAACAGCAAATACCCATGCCTGGCCCTTGAATAAATGAATTGGTAATTCTGGTATAGATTCTTGAAATTTTTTTTCTTTTTTTTCTCCTGCAGCTAAGATTGAAAAGAATAATTTGATAAAGTACTCAGTGAGTGCAGAAACATAGAAATCTTAAAGAATAGTGAGCAAAGAGACTTCACACAGAACTTACAGCTGGACTTTTGCAAAGATGAGTTGGAAAGGAGTAGTTTAAAAACAAGATATGGATCCATTGAAGTAAGAAGGGACCTAATGATAAGCTATTTATTTGAATTCATATTTTCAATTTGTAAATGTAAAAGCTACTGGAAAATTATAGGCAAGAAAGGAAGAACCTGATTAGACAAGAGTTTGAGAAAGATCACTGCTAACTGTAATAGGCTGGGCTGAAGGCTGTGCATGATCTTGGATGGATGTGTTTTGGAGACCTGTGTGTCAGGGGTGAGGAGAAGCCAGTGGGTTGAGTCTGAGATGTGTGTGCAAGGTGCTGCAGTAGAGAACTACCAATTGTGCTTGAAATATACATTCTAATTTCCTTAAAATTAAAAGAATTTATTCCTAATATACATTTCAAGTTAGCAAAATCCAATGTTATGATTTTTTAAAAAAGAAAACCACAGTTTCACAGCTTTAGGCCCTTACACCTACAGTCTGAGTGTCCGTCACCCACACTTCAAGGACATACATGGAGGGGATATCCCGTGGGTCCATCTGTGTGACCTCCCAGCTCACAGAACACCATGCATTGGGATGAGACTTCAAGTACCTTGTGCTCTGTGTAATCCATGCCTTAAGGGATTGGCCTGCCTGGTGTTACAGGGAGGGCATTCACAGCAGCTTCCAGCCCTGTAAAAGGAGGGCTGTTTCTGAGGGTGAAGGCAGAGCATACCCGCCCCCCCCCCCAGGAGAGAAGCAGAAGTGTGCATCCCATAGTCACTGTATCTTACAGCTGAGAAGGTTTAAACCTCCCTCTTCTTCTCTGGAGTGTGTCTGGTAACAGTCCTCCTGCCTCTGCACTCCTGGGCTCAGGGAACCGCTGGGCCCAGCACTCCATGGGGTTTCCAAGGAGTGAGCCAACTCCACCAGCTGTGTCAAATTGGATAGGGCCACTTCGAGTGGTGACTTCCCTTCCACCTCTGTAGGAGACAAATAAGTACATGGCTATTTGGATGTGTGAGTGTCCCTCTCCGTGGCCTCATGTGGCCAGTCGTTTCGAGGGCCTCTCAGCCCAGCTCTACACACCAATCAAGCACGGGGGACTCAATTGCTTACAGGTAGCAGAGTGCACTGGATGTTTTAGCTCAGACTAATCTCTGGTTCCCATATGGGGATAAGAGTATGATCACACTTCAGCCCACTAAAAACAGCCATAATTGGGGGAGAAAACGCTTTGCAGGTGTTCTCCTCCCTAATGGACCAAAACACTGCAGCTTGTGTATACTTTTATCTGTAAAGTGTTTTCTCTGTCTGCATGTTTAGAATGAGACTAGTGTAAAGCACTGCTGTTTAATTGCTAACAGGGCCAAAGGTTTTGTTTTAATTCAAGATTATTTAAATAAAAACATTATTTATAAATGAAGTGCTGTTTTCTGTCCAAACATGTAGGAATGCTGTTTTAGCTGAGCTTCAGTGCTGTTACAGAAGAATTCAATGTTGTTGATTTGTGTTAGATTTGTTTTTAGAATTGGTATTTCTTTTAAACCTCTCATTATTTTAATCAGAACCAATTTTAAGATAAAATAAACCTCTGGAGCATCTTTGACTATCAGCACTTCATTCATACTTCCTCTATGCAAGTGAGACATCAATATTATTGTTTCTCTACCTAATAGATAAGACCAAAGGGTTGCCATGGTAATTGCTACCAGGATAAAAACATACATTAATACCACCCCATATATACATGATGCTTATGTCCTTTGAATGCATAAGAAGTGTCATCATTAATTAGTACATATTTATGGAGAGTGTACATTATTTGAGCACTACACAAAAGTGTACTATGAAGTGCAGTCAATATGGAAAAAGTAAGAAGAAATATTTTATGTACTCCTAGGGTGGTGTTACAGTATGATATTGTATCATCCTTTGAAATCATACATGTGATCTCCAAAAACATTGAGGGAGATGACCAGATAATATAAAATAAGTTGTCACGTGTTTTTCAAATCATTGTCCTCATTTTGAATGTTAAAGATCCTAAGAAAATATCAATAAGATTTTCCTTTTACAAATATGATGTCCTATGTAATATAATTTTTTGTATAGCATAAGGAAAATATGTATACTAGAGTTAGAATTGAATTCAAATTTGGATGTTTAGGGGCTGCTGATGAGGGAAGGGGGTCTGCAGGGCAGAGAGCAGTGACTATGGTCACATGACATGGGAGAAGCAAAAGCTGTGAGAAGTAGGTTATTGGCCAGCTTGGGGCTTCCAATTCAGTGGAGAGATAGCCCATTTTCCAAACCTTCGTTCCCCAGGAATTCCTCTCTGAGTGTGCTAGGTTTTGCTCTCCATGGGACTCTGCAGTATAACTGACATGATTTATTTCCTCTGCAAGTTTGTTCCCAATTAGTCTAACACAACTAAGCAAGTCTTAGAACACAGGTACCTTTGCTACAGTATATATTTAAAAAAGGAAATTGTTAAGACATGGGCTAGGGTAACAATTTGTAAATACCTCCAGCCTTATAAAAGATTTCAAACTGACCCTAGATGTAGTTTTTCAGTCTGTTAGTAGACAGGTAAGAAGGAAATTAATTTCTCTCTAATCCCGTGCTTTGTCTTTCGGTCATTGACTGAGAAAGAGCCATACATAAGAGACTAACTAGACTAGCTTGACCTATTTCTCCCTTTTTGGAATCTGCATTCTCATTGAGCAGACCAATAAAAAAGAAATGAGAAGAAAAAGAAAAATTCAAAATTTCAGATTTGAGAAAGTGTTGGGAAAATGTCAATAAAGAGCAGTAATATCTAACAACAAAGAATGTTAACTTTAATTAGGAGACTCAGGAAAAGAGTTCTTTGGGAAAGGAACTTTAATGCTGAGTCCAGAGAGCTGAGGACAGGTTACCCTTCATGGAAGCATGAGGAAGAACTCTTGAAAAAGACAGACATGTGCAAAGATCCTGAGGCCACAGGGTGCTCACCTAGCTCAGAAACTATGGGAGGACCAGGCTAGACACATATCTGTTTCAGTGTTTGTCAAAATGTTATGTAATTCCTGGTTTATTGGGTGGCATCTTGAATGGATTCTGAGTATCCTCTGGGCAACTAAGCAAAACACTTATTTATACCAATAAATGTTATTTGGAAGAGTAACTTATCAGCTTAAGAATCTTAAGAAAATACTGTTTTGTGTATATTAATTTGGAGGAAAATAGGGATTATAATATTACATTTTGCGATAATGTCATTAAGTGTTTAAAAAGTACAACCAGTATTGATGGACATAGAAAATTTTAAGAAGCAAAACAAGAAAAATAAAATAAATGTGGTTAATTGCAAACCCTAATTCATAAACAAGGATTGTGATCGGTATTGTGCGACTTTACAGAATCTGTATGTATGCATTTCCACATAGATGTATTTATAGATCTTATACAGGAGTAAATATTTGGATATAGAAAACCAAAAACTTTCATGTAGAATTTGCATTACCCCTCTATTACTGTAACAAAACAGCTGAGTTCATAAAAAGTTTTATTTTGGCTAACAGTTTTGGAGGTTTCAATCCATGACCAACTGGCCCCTTGCTTTGGTCCCGTATTAGGCAGCCCCCTCCTCACAGGATCCCTGGGCAGTGCCAAGTGCTCACTCATGCCCAGGGATGGGAGACAGGAGGAGAGGAGATTAGGACCACCCATCCCCTTTGGGGAGAGCTCTCAGCAACTGGACAAACTCCCATCAGGCCCAGCCTCTGACAGTGTCCACCTCTTCTCAGTTGCCCCATGGGACAGTGACCAAGCCTTTCACCTAGTGGACCTCAAACTTTTCAGCAGCAGGGCCATTTTGTGGAAAGTGGAAGACAATTTTTCCACAGACCAGAGGTGGGGGTGCTTTCAAGGTGATTCAGCATATTGCATTTATTATTCACTTTATTTCTATTATCAGTGCACTGTGCAGTTTGTTACTAGTACATTAGATTCTCTTTAGGAGTACGCACCTGGATTTTCTCACATGCACAATTCATGACAGGCTCTGTGCTCCTATGAGGATCAATCCCATTGATCTGACACAAGGGGAGCTTAGGCAGTGATGTGAGCCACAAGTATGGGCTGAAAGTTCAGAGGAAGCTCTCCTTACTTGGCATCCTGCCAGTCATAGTCACCTCCTGGTATAAGCCCTGGGGCCCTAACAGCAGCCGATGTGTACCAGTCTCCTGGTGTAACACATGGCCTTTGGGAGACACCTATCTAAACCATAGCAGAAGTACACTCTCTTTGTATTTTAAAGTATACTCTTGTAAATTCCTATTTTTATTTGCAAAGATATTCATAACATATACATATATGTATATATACATATGTATATATATGTATATGTGTATATATATACATATGTATATATACATATATATATATGGTGTGACTATGCTATGTTTGAAATATACAGTGGATGTTCTTTCCGAACTGCCTTTACCTGAACTTACTTCTTTGCTAAGTATCTTGCTACTTACTAAGAGTAGGTGATACACAAAATCAATACGCAGAATGCAAATGTGCCCAATAGTTAGCTTACCTTTCAAAGAACAGTAGGAGCCCAGGGTCACAGTAGGGCAAAGTTGTTTAGTTCTCTTCTCAATCCCAGACCATGGCTCTGTTCTCTCCCTGTCCACTGCTCCTGTCTCTGTCTCCTCTGGGCTCCAGGAGAGGTGGGAGGGAAGGAGGGCTGTGCATCACAGGAATGCCAGCTCTGCCAGAGTTCACTGATAATTTATTCATGGTCATTTCATGATTCCCCAAAGGGTTCTAAAATAGCAAATTGTTCATATATTAACTAAAATACTAGGGATTCTTACAGGAACACACTGATGTGGCACTTTTAATGACTTTAGAAAAGTTTGGAGGACTCAAAAATAGCTACTTTCTAAAATTGCGGTGCTGCCCAATATTTTCTACAACTAGAATTGCGGGGCATGAAAAAAAGTTTATAGAAGAGAGAATACATCTTATAAGATTTGGAGACTCCTAAATCCTTAATCCTTTTTCATGCTCTTCTGTGATAAACTATTGAAACAATAAAGCTGTAATTCAGAAGGAAGAACACATAGCTTGCCCAGAGTGACTTGGTTGATGTTGTTTTCCCCGAGTGTTGACTTCAGCGGTCAGTGACCTACAAAAGTTACACTGCACTTCTACATTTCTCTGACTTTGGAATATTTTCAGTGTTCTGAGTATTTTTTTTGCAAATACCACTATGCCCACTGACACTGAAATTTCTATGATTCCTGTCATTCAAGTTTCCGATTTGCTGTAACTTGGCTCTGGTTTCTCACAGTACGGTTGCCCTTCTCCCTGTGTAACCTCTAGGTTGAGCAAGGTCAAAGCTTTAAATCTGCCACTTGAATTCCACAAGAGAGCACAGTTTATAGGTGATTGTTTTTGAAAGCGAACATTTTTTTAAGGAACTGATTCTGTATGATATACTCGGGTGTAAGTCTTGACTCGTAGGTTACTTTCTTGTCATTTAACTTAATTTTGGAAGCCTTTTCTGGTTCTGAGTAGAAGGACGTTGGACCTCATTGATGCTTGTAGCTTTTCATTAAAGAAAAGTAGAGCTACAATTCAGGAGGCTTACATAGCTTAGTAAACAATGATACAAAGTGCAAAATATATAAAGATATGATGGAAAAAATAGAATGACTCATGAAAAAAGAGCTATAATACTAGATTAGGAAGTAAAGAGAGAAGCAATAGGTAGACAGTAAGAACCAGGAGATCTGTAAGCAGGGTGTCAACATATTTTGAGAATTGTGGTAATTGAAGAAAAGAATGCATTTAGACATGATTTGAAAACTTAATTACTCAGCATGTTTTGGCCTTAAAAGAGGCCCTGTGGTACTGCTAGGCATTTGATAATTTCGGAAAATATTTTTTTAAAAACATTAAATTAACTATGTAATGAGATTGTTTTATTTGTATGAATTTTGGAATTAAAATTTTCCAAAATAAGAAATGTGTACTTTTCCCAATACTAATTGCCAAGAAATGACAAAGGATCACAAAGAAAAAACATAAATAGAACAAAGGTATATTTCTATAGTATTGTAGATAAATTCTGTGATTTTTTTGTGTGTATTTTGAGGAACTGTGTTGCTAAAACATTCTGGTAAAAATTATATAAAAAATTTACTTATTAATTTATAAACTACAAGCTAACATAACAAATACATAAATAATAAAATTTTTAAAAGAAAATTTGTAAGCATGACCTTTGAGTTGCTAATACTGAATTTATTCTAATTTTTTTAATATTTATCTCTAAACAGGAAGACTTATTAGAAGAAGAAATTTCAATTTCTTTTGCTTTCTGAAAATTGACACTGTGATGGATAAACAAATAGCTTTGAATATTTAATATGAGGAAATTCTTACCTAGAAACTGAATATTTCTGTTAATTTAATAAATTGGGTGAGGTTTTATTGGTATTTAAAAAATTATTTGTGTAGATCACAAAATGGAGCAGTTTCATCTGGTGAAATTTGTTTTCTTCATATGAATTTCTTCTGGAGAGAAATTTGCCACTAAAGAGAAAAAAAAAGGTTATTTTTAATAAAGGTTATTTTACATTTTTGGTTTGAAGTACAGTATTTATACAGAAATTATACCATAGTTTCTTGTGGATAAAGAACTTACCTTCTTAGAACTCATGTAAAGGATCCACAATAAAGATTCCTGTGGTCTTCAGTAGATGAGACTCTCAGGCTGACCTCCCAGCACACAGCCAACGGATCCCTGTAGGTCAGAGGAGGGGCCCAGAGCAAATCAGAACCAGGGCCACTGGAAAATCCACCCCACTGACACCTCAGGGCAGTTAGCTGGAGCTTTCTCTGCTTGACTTGGTTAAGATGACTAAATTTTATTAAGTAAAATATGGCTAAGTTAAAGTGTGTTGAATCATTACATCAAATTGGGACCCATGAGACCTGGGAAAGGAGAAGTTTGCAGTTCTAAGAGGTGCCTGATCATATGGATGATCCCAGCATCAGGATCGGGAGATTCAGTCATGATTTTCTGGCTTTATGATAGTTCAAACATTGTACCGTTCAGGAGAAATTGGACCTCGACATTTAAATTTGAATTTGACAGCAGGGGGCTGAATGACAACTCCTTGCCAGCCCCATGATTGTAAATTGTGTGCAGCAACTAATGCTCAGTAGTGAAGTAGTTAGCATCCAAGCAATATGGTCAGCAGGTTAGGTGTAGTACATGCATTTCCCCTGTGCGATACTCTCGAGTGTCATAGGTTACTCTGGATGTAACCCCATGATAAATGGGGGAACATCCATTGGCATGCTCATGCAACAATAATCCATCTGTTTCTTGTAAGCTCACCACACTGCAGATATGAACTTGTTCATATGGACCTGGGCAACAATGGCTAATGTCTTGTTGAGTCTATAGAAAATGTCCCCAGGATCAGTTAAGAAATATGATGGTTAATGGAGTCTGCTAAATCTGCCTACCAATCTCCATCTCATTTTGTCCCCACTTCTTACCCTGTCTCCTTAGCGAAGTTCGCCTACACTAGGTATGGCCATCCCCCTCCTTGCCATGGTCCATGTTAAGGAGGAAAGATGGCCAGATGAAGACATTGGACTTCCGACCTTACATTTTATTTGATTTGTACGTGAGAAACACCTAAACTCTTAATTTAATGTGTTGCCCACTCCATATTCACAAGGCTGAGTTTCTCATGTGTATTTTAGAATCTGGCAGGTAAGATGTAAAAAGAAAATTACTAATGAAAAGATGAAAAATAAATACAAGACAGTAAAAAAGTGTCACGCTTAATTTTTCTTGAAAGCCTTTGATAGTACTTTGTATTTGTACTAGTAAAATAAAAAGCATGTATTTTTCTACTAATATTGATTAGGTAGACTGCTTAAGGAGTCTCAAATATTTCCTTCTTCTAACTATTATAATGGTTGAGAGGAGCAGCCTTAATGATAAAGCCCACTTGTTTTTTGTTGTTGTTGTTGTTGAAAACAACTGGAATAAAATAACTTGATATACTGTTTGAAAAGATTTTGTCTTTTTAAGTAGTTGTGGATATTCAAATTTCTTTTATTCACTTTTCCAAAAATTCCTTATTTCAAAGAAGTCATAGCTCTTTAGGAATAACTAATATTATTCAGAAAGCTCTCATTTCAAAATAACTTTGAACAGCACCTGTGGAAGCAGACTAAAGCCTTTTTGGATAATGACCAGGATGAGCCTTTTCTCAAAATTCAAGCTAACTTAGATCTGTTGCAGGTCTGAGAATGTGAAGCTGGTTTTTTATCCTTCTGCTTTTCCTTGTGGATCTTACTACAATATGACTTTACCTGAAAGTAATTGCATTGAAACAAACAGGAGATTGACTCTTTTCCTGTTTTCTGAAGATATACAAGAAAAGGTAAAGCCCAGAAAGTGTGGGTTGGTGGGATGATTGCTGCATAAATAGACAAAACATGCAAGCACCGAGTTTTAATCTTTCTCCTCATATGATACCTGACTTTGGTAATGAAATTGAATTGTTTGAGTTGGACAGATCTATTTGTAAAATGTAGGAAGAAGAAATTCTGGCAAAGCAATGTGAGTAATGTGCTAGTTTAGATTTGATTAAAAATCTCAGTGATCTTCTTTGGCATTATATACAACCCTTATTTTCAGATTTTGTCAGCCATTTTTCCGGGTTACTTCATGGACACAATCAAATCATTACTGACACCTAGAAGGTTCTAAGAGGAAAACACTTCTACTCAAGTCACCTGCTTTCATGACTCATGAAAGGTGATTAAGAGCAAATGAATTAAGCATCTGAAATACACAAAAGGGAATCCAGGGAAAATGCATCCTGGAGCTGATTAGACTTTCTGTCTATATTAGAAGTTATCCCTCTGAGAAATTTTGGCAATTCTGAAATTCTTAATCATGAAATTTTAAAAAATCACTCAATCTACAGTATAATCATATATACCTTCCTTATAAAACTAAAATATTTAAATTAACTAATGGTTGGATCCATCTGGGTATAATTGCATGAAGAAAATATTGGAATTAGACCAAAAGTATAAAAATAAACAGATTTTCAGAAAATAATCACATGTAATTTCTCTTTTTAAAAGCACATAATGAAAATCATAGCCTTCTGTTGCTGTTATTTTTGCTAATAACTTGTGATTTTTATCCACTAGTCTTTACACCTTGATTCATGCTTTTAACAATCTACAAATCCTAAATTTCATTTAAGAGAAATAATAAGTGAGCTAAAGGACAAAATTGAACCTCAAAATGGAATCTCCTCACTATTAAAAACAGTAAGTATTAATTCTGATGGGTTTTAGTTTGAATTGTTTCAGACAAAATATTATACACTTGATGAAGTTTCTATTTATTCATTTCTTCCAAACATCCACATGTAACCTTTAGTAATTATGGAGTACGGCCCCATAAAGTTCCTGAATTGAGGGCTGAGGGAGTGGTGGGGTCCATATCGGGGTGTCCTGACTGGGCTTCTCACCTGGCTATCTTGTTGTTTGCACAAACAATCATCTGTGAGAGCCATGGGATGCATGATCAGTTAAAGAAGCATTGGAAGAATGATCCTGGATGATATGAGAAGAATTTAATATTGAATGATAGTATAAGTGCAAAGGCCAAAGGGTCTGAAGAGGTACATTGAAGTTTGGGAATTTATGTTTGTGGATGTCCAAGTGTATCTAAAATTGAACTGTAGGGCAACTCCAGGCACCCTGGGTGGGTAAGAAGCTCTGAAGACAAGACCCAAGCAACTACACATTTTACTTTTTCAAGACATTGGGTAGAGCAGGAGTCTAAAGAGGTCACCTGAGGAACCAGAGAGGCAGCTTCTTATTTCAGAAGGCCTTCAAGGGAACAATGTAGCATAATTGAGTGAATATTTAACACTAAACAATAATGTCTACATGCAATGAACTCTAAAGACTTTGCTGGTATCTCACTGCATTTTGGCACTATGGAAAAAGAATTTTAAAAGTGCTGAGAATCAGCCTCTTTTGTGGGTTTACATTGAGTAGGACATAAGTAAACTTATCCAGTTTTTGTTGTCCATTTTCAAATATTCAAGCTGGACTATGAAAGGAAAGATACTGTTACAATTTGTTGCTTCATAAAAGTCACGGTCATTACATTGATTGAGACAGCATGATACTGGCACAGCAACAACAACTAAAATCAACCTACACATCTAATATATACCAACAGAACAGATTGGAGAGCCCACTAGCAAATTTGTTAGTCTACAGTCAAATGATTCTTGACAAATTTACTGACAGCATACACTGGAGAAAGAGAAGCCTCTTCGATAAATGATGCTAGGAAAACTGGATATCCAATGCAGAAGATTGGAACTTGATTTGTATTAAGCCCTATATGAAAATAAACTAAAATGGATAAAAGACCTATGTGTGAAATTTAAAGGTATAAAACAACTAGAAGAAAACATAGGGAAAATACTTTCAAACATCAATATAGGCAATGATTTTCTGGATAAGATCCTAAAAGTATAGAGTACTTTTTCACAGCTAAGGAAACAACCAACAAAGTGAGGAGACAACCTACAGATTGAGGAAAAATACATAATCAATTCATTTGACAAAGAATAAATATTTAGAATTTATAAGGAAATAAAAAACTTAATAATGAAAAGTATTCACTTTAAAAATAAGCAAGTGAACTGATAGATGTCCCTTGTCACACTGTTGGAAATACAGAAACTAAGAAATCATCCTAGATACTGAATAAAGAGAATGTGGTGTACCTAAATAACAGAATAGTATTCTACTCTAAAAGATATCATTTTATAGTGAAATGAATGGGACAGGAAGATATTAAGTGAAACAAGTGAGCAAAAAAAGGCAAATATTGGCATGTTCTATTTAAAAAGTCAGTTTGAATGTATACTAACGATTATTCAAGGTTGGAGAAAGAAATGAGGAGACAGAATTGGGAAATTCGTGTAAGAGAGGCTCAGCACAAATAGAAGTCCTAGTATACTGTAACACAGAAGGGTGACCAGTTCAAAATTAGTTACTATATATTTTATGAATAAATAAAAGAGAAGTTTGAAGGCCTCAAATAAATCATAAGTAGATGGGAACATTAATTAAGTAACTTGATCAGTACATATTCTACACATGTACTGAAATATCACATTGGACTTCATAAATATTACAAATAAAATAATTAAATTTCAAATGTTTAGACGCATAGATGTCCTAAAATATGAAAGTAAACATATAGATATGTCATAAAAATATGAAAGGAAAAGTAAAATAAAATTTTTATCAAAGTAAAAAAATACCCCACTACATAATCAAAAAAAAAATTCACTCTCCTGCATACCATGTCAATCCTGACACCCCTTTGAACACTATTCATTACCCTTCCTCTGAGGGAAGGCAGGAAAAATAGGTGTCTTTTAAAGCAGGTGGCATGGGAATAAATGTTTCCTGGTTAAGAAAGATGAGATAAAGTAACGACATGTTTGTTATGAATTCTGCTTCCTTTATTCTTATTTCCTACTTTGTTGAACAATTCTCAGTTCACTGGACTGCATAAAACTTGCTATGTTACCACAAAGATAAGGTACACATTTATAGTTCCCTACACATTCTGACATTATGTGGTTCACATCGATGCAATCAAATGCTGCAGAGACCAAATCTGAGTTAGAAACTAGACATGATGCATCATAGCAAG